TGGATTAGTACGTTTAATTATTATTATCATTATTATTATTATTGTTATTATTATTATTTTTTACATTTTATAGTATTGCATATATAAGGGTTTGCATGCACATATATTTCAGACAGACATACACACGGTCTCTTTCTCTCTCTCTCTCTCTCTCTCTCTCTCTTTCTCTCTCTCTCTCTGTCTCTCTCTCTCTCTCTCTCTCTCTCTCTCTCTCTCTCTCTCTCTCTCTCTCTCTCTCTCACTTGAAGATAACGCGACTTACTTTTCGTCGAAGTCAACCCCGAGAGAATAGATGACGTCACCATCCCGTAAAATTTCTACCTGGAAACTGACATATATATATTTTTAAAAATTTTCTTTTAAGTTTTTAGATTATTTTTTTTTTTTTTTAGATTTTTAGATGAGATTTTTTCGGTAAGAATTGTGGATTAGACTTTTAGGTTAAAATTTTCAACTCACGGAAATGACATAAACTGTATCATTTATTCTTCGAATTTGAGAAAAAAAATCATTAAATATAAAGAGAATGATGATAGTAATAGTGATACAAATGATAACAGTAATATGGTCCTACTAATAATGATGTTGATAATAGATATCACAAACATGATAAGAATAATAAACACGAAAACACGAATGATAACTGTATTAAGAATAATGATAATTACAACTAAGATTATGAACAAAATATTAATGATGAATAGAACAGTAATAATATTTGTAGTATGCATAATAGATATAGCAACAATAACAGCAACAATAATAATAATATCAGAAGTTAGAACAAAAGCTCAGTCCTGAAAGTATAAGAAATATATATATATATACATATATATATATATATATATATATATATATATATATATATACAAAGAGAAAAAACTGCCACAATTCCTTATTCCTAAACATATAAAATAGAAAAAAAAGATGACTACCCCCCAAAAGAAACTATATTCTTACAAAATAGATAAAAAAGTAAAAGTTACTCCTGCAACTCCTCAGTCCTAAAATTATATAAAAAAGAGAGACCACCTGCTGCAAAAGTACCGGGCTCCCCTCATGGGCATAGCCCGGGCGAGGCTCTGCCTCGCGAATCAGACAAAAAAAAAAAAAAAAAAAAACCTGCTGCAATACTTCCGGGCTCCCCTCATGGGCATAGCCCGGGCGAGGCACTGCCTCGCGAATCAGGCAAAAAAAAAAAAAAAAAAAAAAAAAAAAAAAAAAAAAAAACCTGCTGCAATAAAAAAGTTACTATGATAATTAAATAAGGTAAAATAAGACGATATAATGATTAAATAAGATAAAATAAGACGATATAATAATTAAATAAGATAAAATAAGACGATATAATGATTAAATAAGATAAAATAAGACGATATAATAATTAAATAAGATAAAATAAGACGATATAATAACTAAATAAGATAAAATAAGACGATATGATAATTAAATAAGATAAAATAAGACGATATAATAATTAAATAAGATAAAATAAGACGATATAATAATTAAATAAGATAAAATAAGACGATATAATGATTAAATAAGATAAAATAAGACGATATAATAACTAAATAAGATAAAATAAGACGATATGATAATTAAATAAGATAAAATAAGACGATATAATAATTAAATAAGATAAAATAAGACGATATAATGATTAAATAAGATAAAATAAGACGATATAATAATTAAATAAGATAAAATAAGACGATATAATAACTAAATAAGATAAAATAAGACGATATGATAATTAAATAAGATAAAATAAGACGATATAATAATTAAATAAGATAAAATAAGACGATATAATAATTAAATAAGATAAAATAAGACGATATAATGATTAAATAAGATAAAATAAGACGATATAATAACTAAATAAGATAAAATAAGACGATATGATAATTAAATAAGATAAAATAAGACGATATAATAACTAAATAAGATAAAATAAGACGATATAATAACTAAATAAGATAAAATAAGACGATATAATAACTAAATAAGATAAAATAAGACGAATTCATAAAAAAACTTACTCTTCCAACTCTCCCATCGTGAGCGTGGCCTCGACGTGGAAATAGGGGAAAAGTGGTGATGGGAACTCCACGTGGAAGGGAAGAGACTGAGACAGTTCCTCATTCACAAGGCGGTTGAGGTAAGCTTTCTGTCCTTGGACTTGGTTCACGTACAGCGACCAGATCATGGGAATGGCCATTCTGGAACGAGGGACGAGGGTTGGGCGTGGTTGGAAGGAGGTATGGTTGGTATGGGTTTTGGGATGGTTTGTCTTTTGGGTTGGATGGTTTCGGGTGAGTTTGAGGTGGGTGTTTGTGTTTTTTTTTTCTTAATTGTATTTGATTTGATTACGTGTAAATTCTATTTTTTCTGTCTCTATGCTTGTGTCTGTCGCTTCCCTCTTCACTCTATCTTTCTGTCCCACTCTCTACCCCAATACCTTTCCTCTCCCTTTCTTCCCTAACACTCATCACCC